GGGTTCATCTTATGTAATATTTTCCCTATATATGTAAAAAAGTATAAATATTTCGTTCATGCAATTAACTTACTTAAATAAACAAAATCAAGTGTTGGACATACTGATAATCATCTGCACCAAAAGTAGGTGAGACATGAAAATTTGAGGATGTCCTAACATTTTTCGTCATTTCAAAGTGAGAGGACTGACAAAAATAATTATCAAATCCATAACTTGGAGAAATATTCCTATCTTGCTAAGGTAGACTGCTACAAAATATATAATAATAAGAAAAATAAATCATATAAACTAATAAATAATTGATAAAATCAACAAATAATAATTGAAATATAATTATAGAGCATTACCGATCACTTTCGTTGATAGTTTCATTTAAATCAAAATCATATCGGCCGATAAGAATATTTTGATAATGAGTCATATTAGAAAAGTCATTAGATTGAGTTATTGGAAATTCATCAATGCTATTACGATTTTCTAATTGGGGATTGACATCGACTGATAAATGAGAACGTTGTTGACTAATCTTAGGCTCCTTCCTAACATAAATTCAAGTATTGTTAACTTGATTTGATCTATGTAGTCATTTGGAACCCTCAAAAAATCGATCAACGATTCGTCATTATAGATAATCCACTCTCCAAAATTAACTTGTCCTTGTGATAAAAATGAAGTAGGATATTTTTCGACTATACTCAAATTATAATTAGTACTGTTTATACCCATTCTTTTGTAAATTGATAAAATAAATTTATGATATCGAACATTAATTGGATATTTAGCATTGTGTTTGGGAGGACAATTATAATAAACGGTATTTCCGTCATGTATAATTTCGCCATCCCAATAAATTAAAACTTTAACTTTAGGCGTAGAAGCCATTTTTTTAAGATTGAATGAACAAATACAGAAGATTTTATGTTGTAGGTGATATCAATTATTTTAAACGTCCTTAAATAGAGATTGAAAGTTTTTTCAGAATAAAAAAAATAAAAATACATAGCGTAATATTTTTTTTCCATTTTATGACATGTCAAATCAACATAATTGTATGACAACACTGAAAAAGCGTTTTCAAAACGTGAAAAATATTCCTCTTATAAAGTGTAAGAAAAAGTAACACTTTATAAAGTGTAATAAAAAGTTCCACTTTATAAAGTGTAAGATTTTCTTCCACTTTATAAAGTGGAAGAAAAAGCTCCACTTTATAAAGTGTAAGTTTTTATTACACTTTATAAAGTGTAAGAAAAAGTTCCGTTATACATTAAAAATACACGTTATGACACTAACGGAAAACGTTTGAAAATTGGATAAAATGAGATTTTTTTTTTCCACTAAGCTTATTTTAGTTACTAACTAAAATAGTGACTTATTTTGGTTATTTTTATATTTTGATGGCTTATTTTGATTCTCAACTCGTGTGAAGAAGAAAATGTATGGGAGGTGTGTGTTATGGGATGGGGGTTGGAAGGAGATTCCAATTTATTATTTATTTATTTTTACTTATTTTTGTTTTATCAAAATGCACTGATATTTTATTTTAATTTTATTTTTGTCACGTTAATTTTAAGGAGTAAATTTATCTTTAAGTAATAAGTAAATGTATGTAATAAATTGTCATGATTGTTGAAACAAGTATCGACTTTTCAAAATAAGTGTATTTATTGTTCTTTTTGTTTTTCTTGTAGATCATTTTAGGATAAATTACTTAAATACACACCTTTATTTTTTATAATTTTCATTATTCCCTACTATTTTAAAATATCTCTAAAATACCTTCTTTTCCTTTCAAATCCTATTGTTCTAGATATATTAAGTTTCACATTCAAGCACACGTTTCTAATCCTAATTTCACCCCCTTAATCCCTCTCTATTTCACTCCCTTTAACCTCTTCATATTTTCACTCTCTCAATCTTTACTTTCTTCATTTTTTTAATTTTCAGAGATATTCTCTCTCCATAAGATTTTTCAAGAACCAATAAGTTTTTCCTTCACAATTTTTCCCCGAAGATCTACCAGATCTCTTCCCTTTCCACATTTACAAAATGTATAAGGAAAGTGAAAGAGATGATGTATCCTCATTGCTCCTTGCAACATCATCGTTTCCAGGGATTCTCTTTTGCTGATGAAATCATTTTCCATTGTTGACAGTGAGACAAAGATACAGAAGTTGGTATAGAGCAAAGATAAAAGTGTAAGGGGGATTTCTTGGTCATTTGTTTCTTTTTGCTTTCAACAGAATAATTGTTGATTTTTTTTCTATTTTTGTATTTCATCCTTTATAATACATATGATTTCATATTTAATGTATCTAGTTGATTTTGTTTCTTAAACGAATATATAATGCCTTTGTTGATTTTCAATGTAAACTCGTTTATTTTGATTCTTAAATTAGTCTTTATTAGTGCTATCACTGACTTGATACATCATCCTGTTACAATAACTTTGGTTTTATGCAATGTATCATATTCATATTTAAGGTGTTGATACATAATTTTAATGTTGTTGAATATTCTATTAGTTTTATCATATTCAATACAAATGTTGTTTATACATAAACACTACCTAATGTATCATCTACATGTATCAAGTTCTTTAATATATCATCAATCTTAGCCAAATAAAAGGCTATTAGTCAGTAACAAATTTGTTTTGTGTTATGTATCTGCACTCTTTAACCTTTGTTCGATCTTACCCAATTTAGAATGCGATGAATATTTACATTTACCTAATAATAATCTTGATACTAACTCAGAATGTTCTATAACTGGAGCACTACGTATTAGATCAAACAATAGGTATATAATATATATTCATTCTTTGGCAAACTACAATTACATGTATATTATACTCAATAACTACCACACAATAATGCATCAATCAACAAATATTTACTTCTCTAATGTATTTAATAGGATTACAACATTTAGCAATTTACTAAATATTTTAGGAAAGTAATGTATCATGATTAATATATCTTTTTTCCATAACGTTCACAAGGTATCTCGTCAAGTTGAAATCTACCACAATTACATATTTTTAGCTTAAGGCAAATAGTGTTTTCTTTCAGCACCAAACTAACACATAGCGACACAATTTTATAACTATCTTATAGCAATGTTAGCAGCAACAAATATTGTCCATGTCTAATCAGATTTGTGTGATACATTGAATTCAAATTACTCAACGATTTATTATACTCAATAATTTTGAATTGATGATTCGAAATTGTGAATCGTTTGTCCAGTCATCCACAACGGCGGATTTGAGACTCAAAATAACGAACCAGGTTTTTGTAACTTTTTTTGGACGAATATGAATAAATAAATCAAAATTTGTATTTTCTAATTATTTTAGTGTTTGATATAGACTAAAATTGAATATTTTAAATAACAAATTTAGGCACATTTTGGGTGACTTGATTACATCAACGTATTTGAAGGGGATGAAATTAAATTTTCAGTTACTAATCTCATACTTCACGCAATAAACGGATAATGTTGCATCAAATATAATGTATCGCACGAAAAAAAGAATGCATCCTAAAGTTACTAAAAAGGCGGGATTTTTGTAATTTGTGAAAGAATAGGAATAGGATGTAATTTGTGTTTTACACTACGTGATTTGCATACTTTTTACATAATTTTATTAATTGACACAAAACATACTTATAAATCGTATTTACTAAATTAATTATTACTTAAAAAAGCCACCATAGCACATAAATAATTCAATATTACCAAAAATAAAATAAATAAAAATAACTATAACCTTTTTTTTTTTAAAAAAAATAAATTATTGTAGTTGTATTCGTGGGAAGAATCTGTTAAACTTTTTACAATATCCTTATTGAATGCAAAAATATAACGACAGCACACCATAAAAAAGTGTAGTTAAAATAGACTATCATGGAGCCATTTCTGCAACAAACCCTAATTTATTAAATTTTATTTGAATATAAGTTTAACCAGAGTTGAGTTAGGTAGTATTCCATTATTCTATATTTTAAAATTTTAATTTTTAAATATGTAATAACGTTCTTGTGCAATTAAAGACTTCTCACTTAATTAAGTAAGATAAAACAAAAGGCATAAAGTATTTTTCTAAATATAAAATTATTGTTTTTTTTGTAAAATTATTAGTATATTTAAATATTTAATTGTAAATTTAATAAATCAAACAAATTATGAGTTTCATAAACTTTAAATACAACTTTTAATTACATATGGTTACTTGGATAATAAATTCTCCTCATTTTCAATTTTAACATTATGAAATTCAAGTTATCATTTTTTTGTCTTGGTGTTTAGCACTTCTATTGCAGTCCAACTATTTTGAATTCATACTATGTAACGCTCTGTTAAAGAGAAGAAATGCTCCCTATTAAGAATTTTTTTCAATAGTCAGAGTTTGAACTCAAGCATTGTAATTAAGGAAGAAGTGATTTCATTACGAGAGCAAAAACTTGAAAAACTCTAATAAGTTAAAAAAGGAAATCTCGACTCTTTTTGGGAAAGACATAATACATAAATACACTATTTAACTTGATTTTAGTTGACATTTATACTCTTAAACTTTGTGTGTATATAAGTAAGCACTTGAATTTATATAAAATTAAACAAGTAAATACATGCGTCTTACGTAACACAACGCATATAAAATAATTTGTAAGACGTGAAATTATCATATAGATTGTTATGTAAGATACATGTGTCTGTTAATTATAATTTATATATTTTTAAATCTCTATTTATATGCATCTAAAATTGAATGAGGTAAAATTATTTCAGGTAGAGTTAAAATGCATGTTCATTTTTTGTTTAACCAGAGCTGAGTTAGTTAGTAACCATATGAATGAGTTTATGACCGTTTGAAAGGCAATGGGCACACACAAGTACATGTACAGTCAATTATATATGACAAAGCCTTTAGCTTTACTGCTCAATTTCCAAAAACACTGTCTCCCATTCTCAACAAAAACATACATACATATATATATATATATGAAAAAATACTGTAAATTAACACACATCATACATATAAAGTACCACTAAAACAGTCATATAGCTCCTGTACTTCAGTAGCCACTCTCATTTTGTTGTCTAGACTAGAAAACTCTGTTTTCCCTTCTTCTTCTCCTTCCTCTTCTCTCACCAACCAACTTTTTCTCTTGAAAAAGTAAAGTGCAATTTCTTCATTATTGCTTCCACAATCATGGCTGCTTTTATGTTATCTTTGGTGTTTTTATTGGCTATAATTGGTCACTCAAGTAAGCAAACACTTTTTACTTGCCCTCATGTTTTCTTTTTTTCATATTTTCTTGTGATGGGTTTTCACTATATATTGCCTCTTAAGATATGTTCTTGATTCTATTAAGTTCAAAGATGGAGTCTTTTTCTCTTTGCCTTTAAGTATTCAGCAACTTTCATATTTGTACTGAGATGGGGTTCCACTATTTTGCTGTTCTTGATTCTGCTTAGTTCAAAGATTCAGTCTTTTCCTCTTTGCCTTCAAGTTTTCATGTTTTTCTTGACATGGGGTTTCACCAAATGTTGATCTTGAGGATGTTCTTGATTCAACCAAGTTCAAAGATTCAGTCTTTTCCTCTTTGCCTTCAAGTTTTCATGTTTTTCTTGACATGGGGTTTCACCAAATGTTGATCTTGAGGATGTTCTTGATTCAACCAAGTTCAAAGATTCAGTCTTTTCCTCTTTGCCTTCAAGTTTTCATGTTTTTCATGACATGGGGTTTCACCAAATGTGATCTTGAGGATGTTCTTGATTCAACCAAGCTCAAAAATTCAGTCTTTTTCACTTTGCTTTCAAGTTTTCTGCATTTCTCATATTTTCTTGAGATGGGGTTTCACTATATTTTGCTTTTAAGGATGTTCTTAATAATACCAAGTTCAAAGATTCAATCTTTTTCCCTCATATTTTCTTTGTTTTCTCTATTTTTCATATTTTTCTTTAGATGGGGTTTCACTATATTATGATCTTATGGATGTTCTTGATTCACTAAGTTCAAAGATTCAACCTTTTTTTCCCTTTTGTCTTCATATTTTCTCTGTTTTTTTGCAAATTTCATATTTTTCTTGATATGGGGTTTCACATAAGGATGTTCTTGATTCTGCTTAGTTCAAAGATTCAGTCTTTTTCCCTTTTAATTGGAAACAAAAAGAGATTTACTTGTTTGAGCTGATTTTCTTGTGGATTTTGTTTCTGCAGGTGCTAGTTACTGTACTTGCAAAGATGGTATAGATAATAAAATTCTTCAGGAGAACATAGATTTTGCCTGTGGATCTGGAGCTGATTGCACAGCTATCCATACTAATGGTGCTTGTTTCAACCCTGACACTATCAAAGACCATTGCAACTATGCTGTTAATAGTTATTATCAAAGAAAAGGTGCATCTGGTGCTAGCTGTGACTTTAAAGGAACTGCAACTTTGACACCAACAGCACCAGCTTGTAAAGTTTCCTCATTTATACACTAAATCATTTTATTCATTTTGTCACTTTTTCAAATGCTTATTGTTAACTCTCTTTTTGTTTTGTTTTGATTTGATCATTAGCTGCTGGTTCTGGATGTGTATATCAGTCCACTGCAGGGTATGTTTTCTAAGCTTATGTTATAATATGTTATGTTAGATCTAGCATTGCATTAGATTCTACTTAAAGTTTTACCTTAAAAGTAAAGGAAAGATTCTTAGTGTCACTCTTGGTTTTGTGATGATGATAGCTTCAATGTAAAGCTCATTTACCTTTTTGATATTAGAAAAAAGGTTATACTCTTTTCTTTTTTTGGTGTCAATTACAAGTTGTGTGTTTTTGAATGAAGGTAAAGGGTTGGTGAAGGAAGTTAAAAGTGTGTCTTTTGGTATGAAAATGTTGTTAGGCTAAAACAACCTAAAGATCAACCTAAAAGCCCACACTATTTTCCTCAAATGCCTTGTACCATTAAGAATGCTCAACACCTACTTTCCATGTAAGACTTTGTTCAAACTCCCCACCGTCAAATACTTCGGGGTCGTAGCTAGTAAAGAGACAGCTTATTCAGCTGTTTACTTTATGTATAAGTTCTACGACGTTGGTGTAGCTAAATTGGGAAGTAAGTTATTCATGTATAATATAATTCAAAAAGAATGAACTACTTTTCTTTTAAGTTTGTTTAATATAGAATGACTCATTTCCTTTTTTGGTAACACTTTAATTTTAATTTCCGTGTAGCAATGTTTAAGACCATTAAATTAAAGGACAGTTTGGTATATTTGACTAACATAATTTAAGACCAAAAGATTAAGAAAGTCTTCTATATTTAGTTCATTCTTTTTAAAATTGATGGAGTATGGCGTTTGGTTTGCACTTTAGAAATCGACATAACTAATATATATCGTAAGTGAATTTGTGTGTTATTTTATGCAGGGGCTAAGCCAATGTACTTTGATCTAAATTCTATATATGTCTAAAGAACCTCGACCCGCAAACTTTAAATTGTGGCTCCACCTCTGATTTTATACGGGACAGTAGATTGAATAGCTAATTCATGCATAACTAATACCCGCATAATAAACAATCCTTTAAAGAGAATAAAGTTACTTGATTATGACTCAATAATGGTCGGTTGTGGTATGATTGTTGGTGCTTTTCAATACTTTATTTTACCATAAACTTCCAATAGCTATTGTCACTACTCACTACCAAATTTGGTAAGTTTGTTTCTTCATCATGTGCTTTGTGAGTTGTCTTGATATCTTCTGTCTGTTAATGCTCAATGTGTACTTTTTTTTTTTTCGCTATGATGAAAATTTCAGGTGTATATACCATCATGTAACATTTTTTAATTATGTTAGTTCATTTGCTTGTGTCATGCTTACCTGCTTTTTCATGTACTAACATTTTCTAGTCCTATTAGTTCATTCATTTATTTGTCATGCTACTTGTTTCTCTCATGACGCTTTCATGTACTAATTTACTCCTCTTTGTTTCAAGTATTTTTGGCAAGCTTGCGAAGACATTTATTACTTTTTGACATAATATATACATAAACGTGTAGTTTAACTTGAGGCATCTATATCTTCCAACTTTTGATGTCCCACAAGTAGACACATGTACCCTATGCGGCTTCATGGCAATTCACGTCGGGCACCTGCGTCTACTTGTGCAACTTTAAGTGACACCTAAATTTTGAGGACAAAGATGTCAACTGAGGTCAAATTAAATGAATCGTGTATGTATTTGTACCTTACTTTGTTTCGTGAATCTTTCCTTCAATTCCAATTAGTTGGTAGTTAATTTCGTGACATATTTTATGTTGAAATGTCTCCTTAAAGGGTGTGCATTCAAAAATCTTAAAAGACAGATAATATGGAAGGAGCATAATATTGTATATCGGTTAATCGGTTCGGTATGGTTCTTGATATCCTTTATTCTTTTTTGTTTACCAGAAACACAAGTCCAACAACTGTACCAGGAACTACAAGTCCATCAACAGGAGGCACTAGCACTAGCACTGGCACTGGAAGTGGCACAACATTACCAGGGACTAATCCAGCTTTTGGACTTGGGCCAAGTGGCATGACCAACACAGACATAAATGGTGCTACTATTATTCATCAAAACACTATGTTTTTCACCATCACCCTTTTGTTTACAACCTTGCTGGTATGCCTAAGGGCCTAATTGAATTGGACACAACTTTCACTCTTTTTTTTTTTTTTTTTTTGGTTTTGTGGTTTCTTGTTTTTTTAACATTTAATTTTTATTTTATCATGAAAAAGTTCCCCTTTAAGAGGAGGTGGAAACAGTTTATTAATTAGTGGTGTAGAAGGGGGGGCCTAATCTCTATCTTTTTAGATTTTTGCCTTTTGTATATCTAGAGAGTAGAGAAAAGAGGCTGTAATTTTTTATTCAAATATTGTTATCAATGAGACTAATCACTACTTTGCCCCATCTTTTTTTTTTCGAGTTAAATTTGACATAAAATTTAAAAAATAATAATTTGAAGTTGTGATGCAAAACAATTTTAAGCTATGTGTGACTACAAAAAAGGCTGCTGATAAGTTACTTCATTATACATATGAAGTGACTTATTCTATTACGAAGATATAATGGAGAAATAATACTGTTTAAAACCTAGGTAGGATAAAATATTTTTGTATTTTATTTATGATATTAGTATATCTTGTATCTCACGCAAAGTGATTTATTTTCGTTGATTGTGAGATTAAAAATTAATGTTAAGAGAATATTGTACTATACTATTGTCTTCCACTAAATTAAAAAAATTAGACTAGACAGAGGAACTAACCTGACTCATCCCATGTGCTATGAAAGGAGAAAGAAAACAAAATATCAACTATATATTATTAGTCACTCAATTGCATTAGAAAATCATTATAGCTCTTATGATTGGCAATACCACAAATTTTCAATGATTTTTAGAATTTAATTTTAAAAAGTAGCTTTTTAAAATATTAAAAAATTATTTTAAAAATAAATAATCATGTGTTTGAATAAGAGTATCACAGAAAGAAAGCTATTTAAGTTAATCTTATATGCACAACTTATTGTATGTGCACACTTTCATTGATGCAACAATAGATTGTGTCTTACTTTGATTCACTTGATTACTAGTTCTAATACCATCATTGAAAATTTGTTCTTACAGTGTTGACTTAGAAAACATAATACAATTACTATCTTATGGATAATCACTTTCATCATCCCCTTCATCATTAATATCATTTATTCTTTCTTCGTTAAAAAATTTACCTAGTTTTATAAAATTGTTCTTGATTTGCAGCACATGCTCTTTCTCCCGTAGCAATAATATCATAAAATAATGCATCATAGCAAAAATCTATAAGCGAAAGATCTTTCTTTCTAATTTCTTTTTATATAGAACATCTTCCTGTAATGAAAGATAAGAAATAAATTTAAGTAAATTAAATTCAACAATGAAAGAAATATGAAATACATATAAAACAATGTGAGAAATGTACCTTAATCTTTAGCTTCCATCAATCATCCTCTGTCATTATTGTATTTTTGGTGGCATGTCATCCTATACATGTAACCCCCCTCATTAATTGCTTAAAAAGAGTCCTTAATTTTTCGTTCCTATCAATCATCAAATGGGCATGTCATTCTATACATGTATCTGTTAGGACCGAAAATAAGTAGGTGTAAATGCGGAAGCTAGCAATGCAAACCTCGAAAGACTACGAGTAAGAAGACAACGAGAAATATACCAAAAGACACAAAGATTTAACGTGGGAAACATGGGAGGTTCACACAAGTGATAACGCATCAAACTTGTGACCCATAAATTCTCCTCCTAACCAAAACTCTCAAAACCCTTAAGACTACATTGTGAATGTTGATTAAGTTAGAAAGAACATTCGTTTATTTATAGAGTCCTAAACCTTTTCCTACAAGAAAAGGATTAGTCAATCAAAAACATTTTCCTAAAAGAAAAACCTATTTATGGTAAGAAATTTAAGGGAAACAACCTCAACCAATTCACTCGAAATACATGGGAGGTTCATACAAGTGATATCGTATCAAGCTTGTGACCCATAAATTCTCTCTCTAACCAAAACTCTCAAAGCCTTTAAAACTACATTGTGATTGCTGATTAAGTTAGAAGGAACATGTCTCTATTTACATAGTCCTAAACCTTTTCCTACTAGAAAAAAGATTAGTCAATCCAAAACCTTTTCTTAGAAGAAAAACCTATTTATGGTAAGAAATTTAGGGCAAATAAAATCCAAGAGTATTCACCCCATCAATTTCTTCAAAAGAGTCCATTAGGCTTTCAAGCTATTTCAATGATTTTTTATTTGTTTTTGTCGTCTTTTTATTGAACTCATCGGTCATATTTTTTCTCCATCTTTAAATAAATGAGTATTGAATCTATTTTCTTTTCTAATCTCTAATAAATATAACAATAAATTCAAGATGAAATATCACATCCCACTGAGATTAATTTGTCTCAAATTAATTCCTGACATAATGAAAATGATTTGGAGATAAAAGTTAATAGGTAAATTGAGAATATATACTTCTATAATCTTATAATAGATACAAATATACACTACAGACAATCAAATTATATACTACAAAAAACTTTTTAAAAAAATAGAGAGACTATTTAATACATAATCCCAAAAAAAAAATACACTGCAATACTTGCAACCGAAAATAAAACACAATTTTTTTAAAAAAATACATAATCCAAAAAGAAAATGCAAAATTAAGAGACAAAAAAGGAGAAACTAAAAATTGTTCATTATTTTCATGCATCTAGTTGTATCCAAAGGGTGGTTGGTGACAACTTATAAATTACTAGAGAAAACATTCTTATATTTTTTTTATAAAATTGATATATTTTATATCTCACATCGAATAATTTACGGTAATAGATTATTATGTGTTGTCCTTTTTGTATTAAAAGCAACCTTGTTTCCTGTTAATTAAGAAGTTAATGTTATAAATACATTGAATTAAGTGGATAGTCCATAAGGTTGGTACATGAACAACCATTCATATTCACTAGGTGACATGAACCTTTTTGGATAAGAATGTATCTATTTATTATGATACTTAATATGGTAACCTTTAGAGTGATTTCTCACTCTATAAATAGGGTTGTTCATTCACCATTGTAATATATACATATGAGACTTGAATACACTTGAATAAGAAGAAAATTTCCCTTCTTCTATCTATCTCTCTTGTCTTCTTCTCTTTATGATTATATTCTTATGAGCTTGATTTTATAACACGTTATCAGCACGAGTCTCTAGCCAATTAAGATTGAGTTTTACTTTTTCTTTAACTCATGTTTTGGTTGATCTCGTTATGAGAATCAAGGTATTATATGCATAAAATCAGGTATGTATTTTCTAGAATATTTTTATGATTTAGAATAAAAATAATATTCAGTCACTAACAATTATCAGGAACCGAAGACATATACTACTATTGGTTGAATATGACATGCTATACAAAATTTCTTAAATAGAAGAAGGTATAAAATTTTAATAGCGTGAATTTGAATGTTATTTTGATTGTTTTGAAAGACTCAAAGGATGAGTCATGTTGTACTTCGATTTATTATACCGTTGGTTAAGGGTAAGACATCAGGTAAAAGTCCGGATGCATCATAATAAAAATATTTGAGGATAAGACGATAGATTCAAGTTCTATCGCACCAAAAGGGTAAGACATCAATTTGAGATTTGATGCACCGTGATTGGGTTCAAGTCCCATAGAATTATGGCGTAAAACGCCTTATATGGATAAGACATTGAGTTTGAGTCAATGCACCATAATGATGATATAATGATGACTAGGCTTTGATGAAAAGTCTTGAAATTCGTTCTATTGAATTTGCTTCATTCCTTGAAAAGAATGTGGTAGCAACATGTAATAACTCTGAAATCCGCCTGTTAACTTGCTCCATTCAATCATATGAATGTGGTAGCAGTGAATGTTAGTCTGAAAGATGACAAATGATTAATGATATGAATAAGGGCGTGGAGGGACATAATTATAATAGTCATCATTGTGGTAATGATAAAAGGAAGAACACTATAAGTTCTTCAAATAGTCCTTCAAAATGTGAAGGCAATTTAAATAAATATGTGAACTTAAAGTTCAAGGGATAATTCAGTTGCATAATGTTGCAAATCAGTTACCAGAGGAATGCACTGACCCTATGATATAATTCAGCTGTGAATGCTTCAATGTGAAGGACAGAGTCTATGATACGCCGAAAGCGTAATAGACCAATTGATTCCAAATATAAAATTCCTTAAAGAAGGAAGGAGCAAATGATCAATATGGTCATGATAATGAGGCAAGTGCTATAAAAGAGCACATTGACATAACACTTCATAAAATCTTGAAAAAGGTTCAGGTACCTGAAATAATGAAAAATGAAGAGATCTCGATAAGTTATGTCTTGTTGGAATCGATATCAAATAACCGTCGACGGTATCTTTGATATGAGGTAGCGCTCAATGATATAAATTGTGATGAGGATCTTGAATTCAAATCTGTCATACAGTGTGAACAGATAAATGGTTGGCCAAGTAAAATGCACAATTCAAGTATATTTTGTTTCACTTAGAAAAGTGACATTTTGGACTGGTAGTCCATAAATCAAGGTATAATGTCAGTGGGGTGCAAATAAATTATTATGCGATAGTATAATCGTAAGATATCAAATACGGTTTGTGCCTTGGGGCATAAAGGTTTATCGCAAAAATCCTGACATTATTGGAGATGTTTTCTCCTTTGGTGGATGCTTTGATCTGGCAACATATGAAAAACTTGAATGCATGTAATGAAAAACTGTAATGAAGGTTATATGAAAATCCTTGAAACAATCCAGGTGTCTGAAGCATATAAAGGTTTGAAAGAAACTTATCCAATAAGCTTCAAGAATCCTTATATGGATTGAAATAGTCAAGGAAGAAAAAGGGTACAAAAGAATGACCCTAATTGTCCTTGTATTTTTATGAAAAGGTCTTGGTAAGACAAAATTTTGTCTTGACCTACAGATTGTTAATTTGACAAATAAAATATTTGTCTAACAGACAACAGTGCACATACACTGAAAAATTTTGATGCAATTTTATGTGGATATATCGCATTGATTGAGTACCCCAATGATTATGAGATCACTTGACATAAATGATGATTCAGTTTGATCTCAAAAGAAGGATAAGAGCTTCTTGGTGATGAAACTCTATCTTGGTGCAATCAGGGCACTAGTGCATCTTACTAACAATATTTGACTAGATATTTGTTTTGCAGTAAATTTACTGACAAGATTCAGTTTCTCCCCGATAAAGGACATTGAAATGGTGTTGAACACATGATTGAATATCCTCAAAGGACCATAGTTATGGGCTTATTCTATTCCGAGGAATCCAAAACAA